GCCACAAGAACGATAAAAAACACGAGTTTGTTGGACCACGCACCAATTGGAGGGCCTTGAAGGCCGGCAGGTCGCCGCTCATGGAGACGACGGGCTTGGTGCCCAGCCGCAGCTCGTCGACCGTCTTGCCCATGAGCGAGCCCAGCACCGCCTCCGGGTTGCCGGCCTCGTCCATTTTGCCCATAATGAACTTGATGATGTCTGCCCGCGTTGTTTCATGAGTTGTCGCCCACAATCGTGCGTGTGCGGAGGTTGTGTGTGTGTGTGTGTGTGTGTGAGGTGTGTGTGTGTGTGTGCGGTACCGGACTGGCTGATGATGTTGGTGACGACTGTGCTGGCTCTGTTGTAGACCGGCACTCTGTGCACGCCTCGCGAGAAGGCTTCCTCGATGAGTTGGGCCAGCGTGCCACGCCCGTACACGGGCACGAGCGGGTCTCGCGATGATGAATCTGCACGAAACGCGCAGCATTAGTCAATAATGGAAAAAGAATCGTTTTAATATTCATCATAATACCTATTATGGCGCTCACTGGGGTGCTGGCAAAGTTGAAGCCCTTCTGGTACATCATGATGGTATTCCTGTGGTGAGACGGGAGAGTCAGGAATGTCAAGAATGTTTGTTGGTGAGTGCGTTGGTGGTGGGAGGAGAGGGCGCACTCAAAGGCTTCGTCGGCTTCGGGATGGGTCTTGCCCTCGGAGCAGAGGCGCACAATGTGAGTGAGGACGTCGAGGACGTCCACGAAGCCGATGACGTCGACCGAGTCCTTGGCCTGAACCGGCAGCGATAGCATGCGCTCCTGCGCCAGAATGCTGTGGGTGGAGATCACACACACACCACCACCACCACCACCACCACAGTTGTTAGTCCGCGCGGCCTGTTGCTTGCACGCGCTGCGGGTAATGCTCAGGTGAGGTCTATGGAATGACGGCAGCTCGAAGCGAAGAGGGGGTGAAGTGGTTGAGGTGCGAGAAGTGTGGAGTGTATTGGGGTGAGAGTGTCGTTGTGCCCATGACAAATTCATGTGCGTGTGGATGCAGTTTTGGCGGAGTGGGGTAGCGATAGCTTTGCACGTCGCGACGTGATGTGGGTGTGGATGAGTGTGCCGTGGGGTCGTGTGTGCATGTGCCGTGATTGGGCGCGTCGTGGATGCGGGGGTTGTGGGTGAGTGTGTGAAGTGAGTGAATGCCGTGGGTGAGCTTGTCGAGAGTATGGGTGTTGTGTCGTGGTTGAGTGGTGTTGTATGTGTGGTGTGTGTGTCGCTGAGTAGGGTGTGTGTGTGTGTGTGTGTGTGTGTGTCGCGGGTGAGTGTCATAAGTGTCGTGAGTAGGGTGTGTCGTGGATGAGTGTCATGGGGTGCGAGTATGGTGCGAGTGTTGTGGGTGTCGGTTACACGTGTGCGGTGGTGAGTATGTGTGTGCGGTGGTGCATGTATGTGTGTGTCGTGTGTGTCGCGTGTGAGTGTGCATGTGTGTGCATGTGTGCGTGTGTGTGTGTGTGTGTGTGTGTGTGTGTGTGTTGGTGCATGTTTGTGTGCGTGTGTGTACATGCGTGCGTGTGTGCATGCGCATGTGCTTGTGTGCGTGTGTGTGTGGAGTGTAGTAGTGCCATCGGTGCTGATGATGCGGTGGGTAGCTGGTGAAGGGACGACGTTCCTGAGTAGAGGCTCTGTCGATCGTCGAGCATAGAGTTCGGCAGGAGTGGTGCGCAGGTGGTGGAGAAGGGCCGAAGGAGGAGGAGGAGTAGCAGAGAGGCGAAAGATGCGGCGGCGCATTGGGAGGAGTGGGTGGTGGTACCTCAACGCGTCGGAGAGCTTGGTGTCCTCCTTGACCAGCCTGACGTCCTTCTGGTAGTCGCCGATGACCCGGTTGATGGTGGTCTCCTCGAGCATCCGCATGATCGGCCACGCCGCCTGCTCGACCGCGGCGACATCGGCCGAGCGCATGTCATCGTCGCCGTCGCCGTCGCGGGGCTTCTTGTCAACTGCGGAGCACGGGAAGCTGCCCCGCTCGCGCTCCTTGGCGATGCTGTGGTCGAGGTCGTCCAGCTTCTCGAACGTGTGCAGATCGCGCGTCAGCGTCTTCTCCGCCATTCTACTGTTTCTGCCCGCACATGCGTGCGTGGAATGGTGGTGTGAAAAGTCGTGAATAGAGTAGAGGTGAGTGGTGCGTGTCGTGAGGTGCGTTGTGTGTCGATGAGGAGTGAGTCATGTGTAGGGGTGTTGTGAGGTATTGGTGTCGTGCATGTGTGTCGTGTGTGGTGATGTGATGTGGTTGTCGTGAATGCGAGTGAGTGCGAGTGGGTGGGTGGGTGGGTGGGTGTTCGAGAGCGTAGTGATGGGGTCGGTGATGATTTGATGTGGTGCGGGTCGTGAATGAGTGAGTGAGCGGGTGAGTGATGTACGGTTAGTGGTTCAGGCACGGAGTGATGTGAGGTGGTGGGAGACATGAATGTCGTGTCGTTGGTGGTGTCGTTGGTCGTGTCGTGTCGTGTGTCGTGTCGTTGGTCGTGTAGTGTCGTGTGTGAGTTGTAAAGATTATTGTGAATGTGAATGTGGAAGTGCTGGTGGTGTGGGTGCTAGGGGGTGGGTGTCGCGGTATTTGTGTGCAAAATTTCTTCAATTAGCACGAACGAAGCTTGGAACGAACGAACGAACGAAAGAGAGGTGGTAAGGGAAAGGGTAAGGGAAAGGGGATGGAAAGGGGATGGAAAGGGGCATACCTTGGTGTGCTTATCTTGATGGGGTAGCGGTAGTTAGGCCCTCTCTTGGCCACGGAATTGAGGCTGTGGTGGAGTAGTTCGAACTCTTCGCGCTTGTAGATGGATGAAAGAATGAATTGGTGAGTGGCCGGCGTCGGCCTAATAAAGTGATCCACTCGCCAGGTCGCGAGCCCGAGAACGCCGGATTGCACCACAGCAGCCGCTCGGGCAAGCACTGCCCCGCTTCCAGCCGAAATTTCGGACCTCATTCGTCTTTTCCGCCATTTCTTCGGATGTTTTCTCTCAACTTTCTGCAGTTCGTGTGGTCAGCGATTGGCGCTCAGCTATTGAACTGGGTGATCTCCCTCGCCCTCAACCCAAAGCCTCATCTCCACTTTCTCCATTCTTGCTTTTTCCTGTAGTCTGCCCACTGCATCTCTCCATCTCTTTGTGGGTGTAAGTTGAAATTGCAGTGTTTGTCTTCTGCTGTTTGTTTCGCCTCTTTCTGGCGCTCTCCAATTTGTTGAACTCTGTAAGGGCGAGGGAGTGGCGGTGCGGGGAGTGAGGCGTGCCCGGGGGAGGTGGCGCTCACTGCTGGCTGGCGAGGTGGCGAGCCAGGGCGTCGCCCTCACGAGCGAGGAAGGCCGCGTTGCTGCGAATGCGCTCCAGGCTCTGCTTCACGCGACGCTCGGCCGCAGGCACCGGGTGCTCCGTGAAGAAGGCCTGTACAGCACCGCAGAGCCCGTCATCACCCACCCGAGGAAAGGAAAAACACAAAGGTAATTGATCATCAGGTGGTGGTAGTGAGTCGTGCCTCGATGTCCTTGGCCTTCTCCTCGGTGGTGAAGTAGTTGGTGCAGGTGCCCACGATCGAAGCTGTCCACGTGTGTTTGGGGGGGGGGAAGGTGAGCCTCGCTCAGAGCTCTCGAAGCGGAAAATCAAGGGCTTGGGCCACGTACTGATGATGAAGAGACCGCCGCCGAACTTCTTGTCGAAGATAACCCACTTATCCTTCATATACTGCCACGCGATGTCTCGGCCTGCATCGGGTGGTGCGTCAGTCTGTGCAGAATGGCGGGCGGCAGCGGTGGTGTGCACGTACCGGCCGGGTTGGAGGAGACGGAGGCGACGGGGAAGGGCACGTCGGACGTGCGCACCTCCTCCGAGAGGGCAAAGTCCAGCGTGCGGACCAGGAGCTCGGGCACGCGCGTGGCGCCGAAGGCCTGCAGGCACCGCCTCTGCTCCTCGCTGAAGTCCGACTGGCGGAACAGCTTCAGCACGGCCTCGTATTCCTCGACACCGCCGTGCGCGATCACCTGCACACGACACCCAACGCGCGCGCCAGTGTAAGAACGAGCGAGAGCTTGACTGGAACACGAGACTCGACACAGCTGGCGTACCGACTTGTAGACGGTGAAGCGCAGATCGGGCGCAAGCGACGCCGGGCCGGCCAGGTACCGCTCGAAGCGTTGCTGGCGGCGACAAGTATTTAGAAGTTTCAATAAAGGAATATAATAATTATAATTATAATTATAATAAATAAACCAATAATAATAATTCTTAATAAATAAGTAGTACCTTGGCTTCGGCGACGGTCTCTGGATCGTCACAGGAGGAGAGACGCGAAATGACGAGGGCGCGGAAGAGCTGGGTGAGGTGGCTGTCGTCGGGCCTGGGGTCCCAGCCGAGCTTGGCCTTGATCGGCCTGAAGATGGCCAGCGAGATCTTCTTGAGCTGATCGGCGTAGGACTGGTCAGCGACGAGGAGCTCGAGGCCGGCCAGATTGGTGGCGATGTCGGAGACGACCGAGTAGTCGTCCTCGCCCTGGTAGTTGGCAAGGAAGCCCAGATAGTCGACGATCGAGCCCAGACCTGCCTTGGCCAGCGCGTACAGCTGTGTGTGCGTGCGGTGCGGTGTGCGTGCGTGTGCGGTGATGCGCGTGTTAACATCAAAAAAGAACTTGAATTAATGCTGCGCGTAAGTAGCGTACGTCGTCCTGAATGCCGAGCCTGTCCGCGGCGGAGAAGGCCTTGCTCTGCACGGCGGCGCCGAGCAGCTTCAGCCTCTCCTGCGGATACTTGACGCGGAACATGCCCTGCACACGACAAGAAGAAGAAGGCAGACATCAATCAATGTTCTGGTCTCACCGACCTCTCTAAGAGGACGGAACGCGTACCGTCATGCCGGCGTTGACCTTCATCCACTCGTCCTTGCCCACCTCGACCTCGATCTCCTGCTCCCTTTGCGAGATGAGGAAGAACTGGATGTCCTTCTTCTTCTCGGCGATGATCCCCACAGGCACGCTCCAGACCGGCTCATCTGAAGAACAGCGCATGTGAGTGAATGCTCAGCCGGCTGCACCCACCGACACCGAGACAAAGGCGCGCATACCGTCCTTTTCGCCGTTGCTCAGGAAACGCGTCTGACGGACCTTGAACACGGTCTTGTTCTGCACGATTCGCGCACGACCCCTCGGGGCGTCAGTATGTGGCCCAGCTTGCTCGACAGAGAGCGCACTCATTTCATTGTGACAAAAAAAAGTTGGCAGCAGTGGTACCTCCTTGTGGCCCACCTCTTCGAAGCTCAGCACGGGGTAGCCCACCTGCTTGGTCCACGAGTTCATGATGTCGCGCACGGGCTTGCCCGACGCCTCCTCGAGAGCGCTCCACAGATCCTGCGCAGCAGACGAAAGAAGAAGAAGAAGAAGAAGAGGTCAGAGGCCGAATGTCTTGGCTGGTTGATAGGAATGGGGGTCATGTGCGACGCACATCAGAGGTGGCGTTGGCGTAGGAGTGGCGCGTCAGGTAAAGGTTGAGGCCCTTCAAGAAGACCTCCTCGGTCAGATAGAACGAGAGCATCTGCCATTCACGCGGCCAAGGTCAGTCAATGGCTGGTCACAGGCGCAGGCGCAAGCCCGCAGGTGCGTACCCGTATCACGGTGCCGCCCTTGGCGTAGGAGATGGTGTCGAAGATTTCGTTGATCTCGGCCGGGTGGTGGACGTCCACCTCGATCGCGTGGCTGCTGCGCATGGCGTCCAGGCTAGTGGCCGAGCCGCGCACGTCTGCCCGCGGAGAGAAGAAAAAAGAACAACGGTCATTCAAGGCGCCAAAACAAACAGAATAGAAAAGAAAAAACAATCAGCAGCGATGCACGAACCGGTCACGAACTGCGTCCAGATGTCCCACTCGGGGAACAGGTGGTTGACCGAGAGGTGCTCCACCCACCGAGCGAAGCCCTGGTTGAATTGTATTTTTTAGTTGAAGAATTCAATGAATGCTCACTTTGTGTGGGCGCGCACCTCGTTCAGGTAGAGCCAGGTCCACCAGTCCATGGTGACCAAGTTACCGAACCCTGCGTGTGAGCGCGCAAATCAAGAGAAGTGAGTGAGTAGAGCCAACGACCGAGTTGAGTTGAAGTGGTGTTGAGCGTACATTGGTGGGCTAGCTCGTGCGACACGGTGCGGGCGACGCCCTGCTTGCGGCCGGCAGACGACTGGTGGACGTCGATCAACAGCGCAGCTTCGCGATAACTGTGGAACATGTATAACATGCGTCAATGAGGGGGTGGGTCGTGTGCGTGTGCGTGTCGCGTTCGAGACACTCATCGTTGACTGTGGGCGCGTACGTGACGAGACCCCAGTTCTCCATGGCGCCCGCGGCGAACTCGGTGATGGCGACCATGTCCAGCTTGGGCAGCGGATAGGGGATGCCTTGTGTGTTGATCGATACAAATACCACAATCAGCTAAGCCGTCCCACAGGCGAGCCGCTGTCGTTACGTACCAAAGATTTTGGTGAAGTAGGACAGAGCGCGGACGCCGACGGACAAGGCGAAGTGGCCCTGGGCAGTCTTGCCGACGGGCGTGTAGCAACGCATGACCACGCCTTCGGCCGTCTTGTCCTCGACGTAGTCGTACTCTCCCACGACCCACGCGACGATGTAGGTAGACCTGTGGCGCGTGAGCCACAACGCACTCACGCAAAGGTGTAGAGAGCGGGAGAGAGCGGATGGCCGTACATGACCGGAGTCGGGCCAAACTTGAGCGTCTTGCGGCCCGTGGACTCGTCGAGGATCTCGCTCACGACCGGCATGTTCGAGAGGCCCTGGAAAAACGCAGTCGCGTGAATGAGAGTGGTTTGAGTCTGTCGATAGCGCACGAACTTGAGGCGCGTACGAGCATGTCCTTGGGGATAACCAGGGCGATCTCGAAGACGGCCTTGATCGCCGGCTCGTCCCAGCACGGGAAGGCCCGGCGGGCATCCGTGGGCTCGAACTGCGTGCAACCGCCCCACCTGCGACGCCCGATGCAAAGTGCGATCAGTAACACGCACACACCACACACACACCACACACAATGAGTCTGCACATGCGCTGCAGAGAAGGAGTGATTACTTCTGCGAGCCATCGCGGGCGGCGTATTTGGTGCGGTAGAAGCCGGCCATCTGGTCGTTTAGCTGGCCCACGAAGGTCACGTGAAGCTTGGCGTGGCCGAGCGGCAGCTCCCTCTCGAAGGTGAACGTTGCGGTGTCGGCCTTCTCGTCGAGGCTGATGTCTGTCGCCACGTCCCGCAGCTTAGGAGCCAGCGTACGTGTGTGCGTGTGCGGTCATGGTGCACGAGCCTTACCTGTGGCAGCGAGGCGGGCATCGTGGTGGATGAAGTCGACGGCCTTTATTTGGATCTCCTTCGAGTGCACCACCACCTTGCTCGTTGCTGACAGCACTGCACGTGCGACACAAAGATGATGCATCATCAATCAACGTTCGCAAGGAGAGAAAAGAAGAGGTGAGGATGTGTAAAAACTGCTGCTGTACCTTCGATTTCGATCGTCTCGAAGCCATTGAACGAAAACGACTCGAAATGCGGGGTGATCTCGACAAAGTACTTGCTGGGCTTGACGTGGGTCGGCAGCAGCACGTCCTTCAGCTCCAATTTCTTCTGATCTCTCTCCATCTTGCTTGCACGTAGCGCACTCGAATCTTTGGCTGTGTGGTCGCGCAAGGTCGACAAAATGGGTGCAATACAGCACTCACGCGCTACTGCCGAACCTTCAGCAAGACGTCAAGCCACCAACTGTTAGCACTGCTGATGCACCGACAAGTGGTCGCCTCTACATGATGGAGGCCAAACACGAAGAAGAGAGCAGAGGCTGATCGATAAGAGGGTAGGGGTGGATCGGTGGTTGGTCTGTACATTATGAACAACAACGCTAGGTGGGGGGGTAGCCACAAAATGATCATAACCACGCGGTGATGGTGGGTTCTCACGCTCTTCTGCTCTACTCTACGAGAGAGCCTTGAGACGAGCCAGGCGCTCCTGCAGGTCATCCTGTTGAAGCCTCAGGTGAGTGTGTGTGCGTGCGTGCGTGCGAGTGTGCGTCGTGTGTGCGTGCGTGCGTGCGTGAAGAAACGAAAGAGGGTAGCATACGCTGCTGGCGGCAACGGGTTGGGGCGCGGCACTCTGCGGCGTTGCCAGCTGGCCACTGAGCTCAAGGCCATGCTCGTCCGCCACCTGAGAGATGAGCGAGTCGACTTGGTCCTGCGGCGTGGTGAGCGTAGAGGTCTGGCTCATCGCCCCCTCCATGTACATCGATTGCACGTCTGCACGTACACGTCGAGCATGTCAGACATGGCGTCCGCCCAACCAGGCTTGTGTGCGTCGTGTGCGTCACGTAGAATGGGATACGCACCAAGGTTCTCGACCTCCTTCTCGAACTGGTCCATGACCTTGGTCATCTACATCAAGGCCACCGCGTAAGAATCAACAGATGTAGAAGAAGAGAATGATGATGATGAAGTACCTTCTCGAGGTTCATCGACTTGGAGGCGGCTTCGAGGTTCTTTACAATACCGCCCATGGACTTGGTGACCATTCGCATCCGCACCGCCGTCTCCACTCGCCCGGCCACCGCATCGATACGCGACGCGAGCCTCAAGTAGTTCCTGCACGTCCGTTTGTGGCGTGCGGTGTGAGGAAGCGCACACACGCACCACTACAGAGAAACTACAGAGATGGAGCGCACAGGGATTGGTTCTTCTCACGAATGGCATTTTCAGCGTAGATGCGCGCACCATCCATGTTGCCCTTCTGGATCGCCTGTGGTCGCGGTAAATCCATCAGCATGAAGGCTGCCTGCCAGCAAGATGCAGAAGATCAAAGAAGGGGGCGGGTACAAGTTTGAGTTTCAATTTGTTTTGCTTTTCGCGCTTCTCGCAATGCTTGGACTCACGCTGCATCTGCTTGGACGTCCATTTCAAGTTGAACAGTTGCTCTGCAGATGAAATCATTCAATCAGCCATTACTTTCCTGTTCCATAAAAGCCTCGAAGGCCTTCAGAAGAAGATCACCACGATGAATGGAACGAGGACGTACTCTCCATCTTCTTGCTTCTTCTCTTCTGTAATCAACGCCAATTCGTTGCCCGCAGTTTTCCAGATCCCCAGGAAAAGGCTACGGAAAATCGAGGTGTGCCTTTTGTATTTACATTTCGGCTTGCGAGTGTGAATGTGTGCGTGTGTGATGAACGGCTCTTGCCTGCCAGGCTCTCGCGTCTTCAATGGACAGAGGGCGTGGACTGGACTCGAGAGAGGTCGTAGGTGTTGAGGGCGGCCAGGAGGGCCTCGCCGAACCGCCAGGCCGAGGTTGGCCCCTGGCCCGTGATGAGCTCCCTGTCCTCGACCACGTTTGGCAGCAACGGCCAGCGCGCCTCGTACCGGGCTGTTGGGGGGGGGCAAGTTAGCATCCACCACCAGTCGCCAGGCATTGCCCAGACAAGTCAAATGAGCCATGACCGTACCTCCTGCATCTTTGAGCGCGTCTTCAACATGCAACTGCAAGCGGTCTCTCCTGTAATTGTGTGATGAGATCGTGTGTGTCGCGTGTGTGTCGTGTGTGTACCACAGCAGTTCGTTGAAGGCTTCCTCTTTATCGGAGTAGGCGGTCATTTTGTACCCCGTGTATGGCCAGTGTTGGTCTGTGGCGCGATCACGATTAGCCGAGCCCTGACCCAACAACACGCGCGCAGAAATCGCGAGAGAACGCACCCATGGGAATGGCGAGATTGACCGAAAGCAGGGCCACGGGTCCATGACAAATCAGGCCGGAGGGCTTGGCGTGCCTGTGGAAGTGGTGGATGATGTAGCCCAGATTCTGGTTGTTATGCAGATCGACCATCGGAGCGTGACCGCCTGGAATGCCGCACATTCCAGACAGAGCGAACAGAGACGCGACGAGAGTGAGCGCTCACACACTCGTGCATCGACTCGCGTCTTTGGGTGAGGGGGGGAGGAGTTACGAGGTGCGTACCGGGCACGAAGAGGCCGTCGATGGGCAAGAGGTCAGCCTCGCCCCACGCCGAGAACGGAATGGGCCGAGTCAGGCTTCCCTCCCTGGCGCCAAAAGCAGAATCAGCAATCCCGTCGTACACAGCTGTGTGTGTGTGTGTTGACGTTATGTCGCCAGGGGGAGCGAGGGACGTACGATTGTTCTTCGAGGTGGTCCTTGAGCCAGGCCTTGGCCTTGTTGTACTCGCCCGGAGCGCCGAACCACACCTAATGTTGCCAATCATAGCCAAACGGATTGCGAAATGAGCAAATTCGACTGAACTCACTCACTCACCTGGGCCAATAACCGAGAGGCCTCCGGAGCGGTACCATGTGATCGGAGAGCGGATCCATGTTAGGAGTCTCTCCAGTCGGGTTCGTGAAAATGGGCCTACACAAGGGCAACACGTGTCAGCATTTGATTATAATTATATAGACACATATGTGCATATATGTGCACGCACATTGATACGCGGAAGCTACCTGTATCCGGCCCGCTCCAGCATGTTCAGAGGCACATAGAGTTCGGACAGGAAGAAGCCCGTCTCTTGAGACTGGTGTTTGCCAGAGCGCTTAGTTACGCATCGTGCACCGGAGATCGGGCTTGGGTGGTGGTGGTGGTGGTGCTGGTGGTGCTGGTGGTGCTGGTGGGTACCTTGCCGCTCTTCAGGTTAATGTCCTTGGCGCCGCTCAGGACGACCAGTACGCTGCGTGCAGTGCTCATCGTTTATGGTGGTCTGCACGCAACATGTTCGTACTTCAGCACAACATATCAAAGCTGTGATGATTGTCAAGGCTGGGGAGTTCGCGTACTATGTTGTTGTCTCGGCGAAGTTGGTCGGTGTTCGCTTGCTTGGTTGGTTGTTTGCTGGAAGAAGAGCCCGGGCGCGGGCAAAGAACTCGGGAGGCAGGCCGAGGCCGATGGAAGGACGGCGGATCGGAGGAAAGGCGGGCGCAGGTCCCTTGGCTTTCCCTCACCTTTCGGATCCGGCCTCGGTTGAGCTCGTCTCGCTCTTCCACGGAAGCAAGCCAGAAAAACGGACAAAAAGAAAAACTAGAATAGCGAATTTTCCCGCAAACACTGACCATCCGCTCGAAAAAATAAATAAATAAATAAATCAAGTAAACAATAAGATAATAAAAGAATAATTCAATATGGGTTGCGAAAAAAAAACACAATAATATCCACAGATAAAAAGATTGGATAAATCGAAAAATTACAATCGTCCAACGGCTGCTCAGCTCTGATTCTCTGTGGAGGCAGGGTTAGCGATTGGGCGGCATGCGGGATGGACGCGGTTCGTCATACCCTTGTTGGTCTGCGCCTTCTCCCAGCCTTTGAGCTCCAGATCGAGCGCTTCGACATCTCTAGAAACTCGCATGCTCTCCATACCTGCTTCGTACAAGATCCCGCCCTGGTCAGAAGAGCGCACGCACGCACGCACGCACGCACGCACGCACGCACGCACGCACGGTTCTGACTTCACGTACCCTTTTGGAGGATGTCGGGCTCAGGCTCGCTGTCGCTGTCGCTGGTGTCCAGCTTCCTCTTGGGTTTGGACTTTCGCTTGGGCGTGGACGGCTCGGCCGGCTTCTTGGCCTCCTCCTCGGGCGACTTGGTCAGCTTCAGCTTGAGGGTCGGGTGTCGCTTTTGCCTGTCGCCTTGCCATAGCCTACACTCAAATCGACCGACCGGCGACCACCGAATCCGATCAACCACCACCAGCAGCAGCGCACACCACTCGCCTCGCCTAGGGTGCCAAGCACCAACTCCCTCAAGAAGAGCTCGAAGGCGAGGTGGTACCAGTTGGGGATGTCAAGTGGTATCTTGATCTCCGATCTGAACATTTCCACGAACTCGGACTCGACGGACATTATGGAGTGTCCGCGCGTGAACCTGAGAACGGGTGTAGCGACCGTCAAACCCGAGCCCAAGCACAACCGGGCGCCGAGGGGGGGGGAACAGGCCAGGCCAATGCACTATTGGGCGCGTACCGTGTGAACTCGGTGGTGGACACCGACAGGTTCCAGTTTTGCAATTTTCGGAGGCACATGACCACGATGCCGGTGATGTTCGCTCCATCCTGCAGCGTACGTGTGCGTGTGCGTGTGCGTGTGCGTGTGCGTGTGCGTGTGCGTGTGCAAGAGTAATCGATCAGAGACCACAGCGCTGCATGCATGCGGTGACGTGGCACGTATGTACGCACCAGGCAGTGGATGAACAGCGGCAGGTTTTGAGGGCTGATGCAGGTCTGGCAGCGCAATACAAACCGCACAAGGATGAGTTCACATACACGTGGTGGTGGTGGTGGCGGCGGCGGCGGTGGTGGCGGCGGTGGTGGTGGTAAGAGGAGAAGGTTCAAGAGCCACTCTCTCACCTCGAGAATCTGGGCGACGAGAGCCGGAGAGACGGTGACCTCGTCCTTCATCTTCCCTACGGCGAACGGCAAGTGTCTGCAGATACGTTGGGCGAAACAATGGTAAGTCGAGAGAATGCAATCGCGTTGTGCATGCCAATCTGCGCGCGCGAGGGTCGAGTAGGAAAGTCGGCGCCGCACGTGATGTTGTGCTGCTTGCAGAAGCCCTTCAGGTCATCGCTGGGCTCACCCGGCAGCAGCGAAATGATCGTCTTCAGCTTCAGCCTGTTGAAGTGGTGTGCGCGCAAACAGTGGTCTGTCTGGTGAGCAACCAAGCACTCGAGCTAGAGGCCGAACACGGGGCCGCTGAAAGGGAGTAAAAGGCCCGAGGGGAAGCTCTGCACCGTTTGAGAAACTGAAGGTTGCGTTTCTGAGGGTAGGCGCCGCGATAGAGCCCCTCCTCGATGATGGCAAGTCTGTGATGGTGATACGTGGCCACAGCGCGACGGTGGTTGGTGGTAGCGCGTGAGGGGGCAGCAACAGCACGCGCGCTGCGAGAGAGAGTACCGGAAGGGTGGGATGAGGGTCCCCTTCTGTGGGCCTCGTATGCACTTGGCGTGTAGTCGTTGTTCCATCTCTGCCTCGATCGATTCAGTACGGAAGAGTGGGAGGGGGGGCGTGTAGCGCGAAATCGAGGATGAATAGGAAATAAATAATAATTATTAAAAATGCCGAGATGAATAATGAATAAATCAAGATGAAAAATCGGAGGATTTAAGACTGCCATCTCGAGTTCAAGATCGGATGCGAAAACGTAGAGAGCTACCTGTGGAGGGTGGCTGAGCTGCCGTGGCTTCCATCGTTGCTGGTGCGGGACCGTTTTGACTTAATAGCACTGCGTTCCCTGGATCAGCGGTAGACCAACGGACCTCGCCGACCGCAAGCACGACCAGTTGCTTCGGTGCCGCACACAGCAAGTGACAGACAGCGCCCAAAAGAGAAAAACAGCAAATAAATAAAGAAAGAAAACAGATAAATAAAAACAAATAAAAAGGAAGACCACTTGTTTATCTCTGATTGCTCTCCGTTATTTGTTCTGTACACTGGAAGGCAGCTTTCTTCGCTCTGCCGGTCTTGGTTCTCCTTCTCATGACTGAGCCTGTTCATCCCCGCATGGCCTTGATGAGGCGATGGTGGTACTCCTGCACCTGCGTCTCGAGCTGCTCGTACTTCTCTCGCATCAGCGTCATCTCATCGATGTGCGCCCGCTTCCGCTCATTGATCTGCACATTTACGCACAGAAACACATAAAAACAGTCATCGACATGTCTCGTGTGTCGTGTGTGCGGTGAGCGGGTAATCGTGCGTACCTTCTTCTGCATGGCGCGAATGAACTTCTCGTTTTCTTCGATCTTGGCTTGCGCTTCTTCCCTCTCCTTCTCCGCAGCAGTCCTGTCGCTCTTGGCCTCGACCAAGGCCTGCTGAGCAGCCTCCTGCTTCTCCTTGTGGACCTTCTCCAGTCGGACGAGCTTCTCGGCAGCAGCCTGCAGCTGCTTGGCGAGGAACTGCGGCAATTGGAGGCGAGTGAGCCGGCGCATTGAAAAGGTTCACCCTTCGCATTGAGCGGGGCAACGTACGAGCTGCCTGCTTTCGAGCTCCCTCGATTCGGCGTTGGCCTCTGTGATGCCCGCCTGCGCGTCGTCGATCTGCTCCTTCTGCTTCTGCAGCTTGTCGGTCTGTACCAGAAATCGGCGAGTTAGCGTTTGTCTCTCTGCGCGAGTACTGATAGTGTAAGAATCACCGCGCACCTCAACAGAGCACTCGTTCATGACCGCAACGCACTTGAGGATGCTCTCCTCGAGCTTCCTGAGGCACCCCAGACGAGCGCTCAGTTCTGGTTTACAGGAGGTAAATCAGTACGTCCAGGCGTAGACTCCTACAAACTGCCAGCCACACGGCACACATACCTCTGGCCTTGACCTCGGCGTCGCCGATGGTCTTCTTCTCTACTTCGACCTGCTCTTCCATGTCGATGATGGCCTGGAAGGTAATGAAGATAAGACATTCGCGATCATCATTTGCCAGGCATAACCGATCGTGTAGCCGCACCTTCTTCAGCTTCTCAGGGTCCTGCACGATTTGCGAGCGGAGCTTCTGGCCGTCTTGCTTGAGGTTCATGATCTTGAACATGTTGTTTTGGGACTGTGGCGTTTGTTGCTCCCGTGAGCAAGGAACCAGAAGGGATCCGATTGAGCAAAACGGCGAGAGGGAAGGTGTAGGGTACGATAGCCTCAAGTCGTCTGAGCTCGTTCTTCTGTGAGCGCCAGTCCTGCTGCAGCTGCCATTGGAACTTGTTGAGCTCCTCGACCTCGGCGCCCAGGCTCTGCGTCTCTGCGGTCAAGTGGTCCACCTGCTCGCCAGCAATGGAAAGAGTCAGCTCGGTCACGAGAAGAAGCTCAACAAGAAGCGACTCAAGCATCGTGATGTCACGCACCATAGGTTGCTCGGCTTGAAGTCGCCTCTTGAGCTTGTCGAGCTCTTCCTTGCACTCTTGGTTCTTAGACTCCAGTTCATTTTTCTGTTCTTCCAGTGCGTCCTGAATAGGGCGGGTGCGTGGTGAGCAGATCAATCGCCACCTTCCACGACAAGGCCGTAAGGGCAAGATACGACGTACAAACTCGGTGTCGTATTCATCGAACTTGGCTCTGCGTTCGCCTCGGAACTTGAGGAAGTTGATGATGGCCGATAGGTAGCGCACCATGCGCTTGCTCTCGGGCTTATTGAGGTCGCTCATTTGGAAATCGTTTACGCCCACGCTCACCATCAATTTCTTGCTGCAGATTGAAGCAGAAGCCGTCAGAAGTTCATACTCAAACGTGGAAAGCGGAATGAGCGACGTACAGAGCACGAGCGAACGCGATTTCAGGAATGGCCTCATCGTAGAGCTCGGGGTACGTAAGGACTTGCGATGCAGCAAAGTGGGGCTGTTCCAGCTCCTCGGGTCGCATGCCCAGCAGGAGCAGTACCAGCTGTCGGTAGACGCTGCGCATCTCAGTCGCGGTGGGTGCTGTGAGCTTCTGAGGCGGGAATTCGATTTCCACTTCAGCCAAGCACGCGGAGATCTCGCTCGGCGAGAGATTGGGAAACGAGAACACACTTTTGCCAGCCATCTTTCTCTCTCCCTACTTCCTCTTCCAATTGTGGTCTCGAATTGCACTGTTCGTAACGTCTGGTTCTGTTGCCTGCGTGCTGTTGGCGCCAAATTTTTAGCGCCAAAACAGCGAACGAGTGAAAGGAGAGATCCGTGAAGTCGATGCACAAAGCGAGCTTGTGAAGCTTTCCGAAGTTTGGCCCGTACCACGCAGAGTCCGTGTACCACGCAGCCTTCGCCCACCTCTACCCCGTCGAACACGCCCACACCAGCACCTGTCCGTCTGGTGAGAGAAAAATTCGAGATATTTTTCGCTTCAATTTCTTTGTGCGACAACGACTCGGACTCATTTTTATTTTTTGTTTTTATTGTTACCACATGCAAAACCGTGTGTTGCCGCAGGTGCGGATGGTGGTGTTGGGCCAGGTAGATGCCGGTAAGTCCACCACCGTCGGCCACCTGGCCCGCGACTGCGGCGCCGTAGACCAGCACACCATCGACCAACTGGGGGCTGAGGCCGCCGCGCTCGGGCGGTCCTCATGCAAGTACGCCTGGGTGCTCGACCGGCTCAAGGCCGCGCGCGAGCGTGGCACCACCATCGACGCCGCCGAGCTGACCTTGACCACCGCCAGCCGCCGCCTCACCATCGTCGACGTGCCCGGCCACCGGGACTTCCTGCGCAACATGCTCTTCGGCACCTCGGGCGCCGACGCCGCGCTGCTGGTCGTGCCCGCCGACCAGGCGGAGTTCGCCGCTGGCATGTCGCAGTCCGCAACATCGCAGGGCTTGACCCGCGAGCACCTGCGGCTGGCCTACGCACTCGGGCTGCGGCAGCTAGTGGTGGCCTGCAATAAGATGGACGCCGTGGGCTGGTCCGAGCGCCGCTTCGGCGTCGTGCGGGCCGAACTGGCCGCGCTGCTCAAGAAGGTCGGCTTCCGCCCCGAGAAGGTGGCCTTCGTGCCCATCTCGGGCCTCCACGGTCACAACCTGGTCAACAACCAGGCGGCCGCCGCCGATGAGCCACCACCTGTGACGATGCCCTGGTACGCGGGTCCGACTCTGATCGAGGCCCTCGACGCCATCGAGCCCCCCGGGCGGCGCCTGCTGCTGGACCGTCCCCTGAGGGTGCCGCTCCAGGACGTGTACAAGATCGGCGGCATCGGCACGGTGCCGGTGGGTCGCGTGGAGAGCGGCGTGCTGTATCCGGGCACGCCTATCGTGTTCGCCCCGGGCAACATCACCGGCCTTGTCCACAGCGCCGAGCAGTTCCACAACAGCATGACCGAGGCCGGGCCGGGTGAAAACGTAGGGTTCAACGTGAAGCAGGTGTCGGTGCGCGACATCCGCCGGGGCCACGTGGCCGGCGACGTGTGGCGCGACCCGCCGCTCGGGGTGTTGGACTTCACGGCGCTGATTGTCATCACCAACCACTCGGGCCGCATCGAGGTGGGCTACACGCCCGTGGTGGACTGCCACATGGCCCATGTCGCGTGCACCTTCAAGGAGCTGGTGGCGCGACTGGACCGGCGCACAGGCCGGACGCTCGAGGCGCGGCCCAAGTGGCTCAAGGCGGGCGACGCCGCGCTCGTGGTGCTGGCGCCGGTCAAGCCATTGTGCGTGGAGGCGTTCGTGAACCACCCAGCGCTCGGTCGCTTTGCCGTGCGTGACATGCAGCAGAACGTGGGCATCGGGGTGATCAAGTCCGTCACCCGCGAGCGACCAGTCCGGCCCGACGCTGTCGGCGAGTAGAAGTATTGCGTAGTAAAACGTTTTGTGATCGACTTCAGTTCATCGTTGGTCATGTGCACATTACTCAGCCTGATGCAGCACGGTTGTCAGCGTGGACGGCCAGTGATGATCCTTCCAGAAGTGAAGCAGTTGGAGCTTGCTGCTGGAGTCCATGTGGCAGAAGGCTACCTGATAGAGATTGGACTTTGACTTGGTGCTGAGGTGGTAGCTCCATAGTCTCAGCCTGAATGAGGCTATGGAAACAGGTATTGGGTTAGTAAAAAGAAGCCTCAATGGAATAGTGGTGATGGAGGAGAAGTGAGGGGTGGAACCTTATTGCCTCAGGATGGTTTATGAGATCATTGAAGATTGTGCCTTTTTAAGTGCCTCATGGGTGACTGCTTGACCTTCCTTCTGCAAATCAACAATCAATTTTGTTAAAAAATGTCATAAAAACCAGGAAAGAGCATCCAACATCCTCCTTCTCCTTCTGCTTCTTTCTTTTTTGTTGTCCTTCTGTTCATCATCTCCTCCTCTTCTCCTTCTTCTTCTGTTTCACTGCCATGACCTTCCTGATCTGATCATCCTTGCTGGCAGGCAGGACACAGTGGTCTGGGTTGGGGCCTTGAGCTGCAGCAGCAGGAGCAACAACAGCTGGAGTGGCTTACCAAGCAGAAGCAGGAGATTGAGAGAGCCAAGGAGCACAAGAAGCTCCTCCTCAAAGACACAGCCAAGCTGCAACAGCAGGATGTTGATCTCCAGCTCATCATGTGCATGGCCAGAAAGTGAAGGACTGTGAAGAAGCCAAGAAGGCAGTGGAACATCTGTCTACTTCTACCTAAACCACCACTATGGCAACCACCACAACCACCACCAGCAGCTGCCAGTAGTGGACCAACCAGGTTGTTCACTTCTTGTCATTGTTCTGGTCACCCTCATGCTCATCTGCTGTGGACCAATCACCTGCTGATGTCTTCCAAGGTCTCTTGGAAGACAGACCAAGATGCCTACAAAATTTAATGTGACACTTTTAGGTACACCTCCTGCTATCCTGCCTGCCTAGGACTACTACTCTACTGATGATACTGCCTGTGTCATCTGTCTGACCATTGATACCATTATCTCTGTGCGTGACTGTGGCAGTGGTGATGTGGTGCTGTGATGGTGGTTGTGGTGGGGGGGGGGCTGAAATCCAGAGCCATTGATGACAACCATGCCAACATCATCAATATTGCTCACCCTTGTGCTGCCTGTGTTTCCACTGATCTCTCCCAGTGGTGTTTACCACTCAAGCACTTGGGAAATGAATCTGACTGGCCAGAGTGAATTGCCAATCTCATCTGCACTATACCTGCCAAGCAGCCCACAGCAAAGGAACTCATTTAAAAACTCACCTCAATCAATCAACAGCTCCACATAATAACAAGAACAAGCAACTGGCCATTAAGAATATATGCTGGTAACCCATCTCCTTTGTGTTTGCTCCTCACACACATAGAAATTGAAAAAAGGCAACATACAAATTGAAACAAGAGCCTTACAAATTGTTGATGCAAAATTCACAAAAATTCACAATGATGTTGTTTGAAGACACAGCAGTTGTGAATCTGTGATACTCCTGCTGACCATACCAAAGATGCCCCCTTGTCTGCTCACCTCATCAGTGACAGTGTTGAACATAAACAGCCTGGGATCTGGGGGAGACAAATCAGTCAACAATCTTTCCAAGCCTGCATCTTGACATTGCAAAGAATGATGAATGTACCTTTACCCCCTCCTAGCATGATGCTATTCTTGTAGGTGACAGGGCATTGACCACTGCTGAGTGCTTCTTTGGCAGAAAGTGGCTTTACATGAACACATACCTGCAACTTCAAAGAACAATCATCCTCAGGTGACACTTCTTGCCCTGGCTCCAACTTCAACAACTTCTCACACTTGTGTGATCATATGGTTGGCACTAGGAGCAATGACACCCAGTGGCAAGTTCCTTCCCAGCATGAAGGGACTTATCCCACACATGCTTAATTGCATGTACTCCCTCATGGATGCCTTGGCACTCCTGGTTGTTTGCTGGGCAGGAAGAGAAGGAACAAGAGGAAACAGAAAGGAAAGGTTGCATGAACAGGAAGGATACGCTTGCTTTGCAACGCGTGTTGCAAAGGGGCCGTTACCTTTTCTCAACTAAACATGTTCAGATTATTGCTTGCCGTTATTACTGGCTTCCCTCGTAACCAATCAGCACAGGACCCACAACAACTCGTTTCCAGCAGCAAATGAGGTACCAACAAACCCAGAGTTTCACTACCACACAGCTGACACAGTCCATGGATGCCCCACGCGATGCCCAGTGGAAGGAGGAGGTGAGGAAGCGCCAACAGCGACACCTGCCCGAACTAAAAGACGAGAAGCACCAGAAGCTCTTCTTCTTCACCAGCTACACGCAGCTCGCCGGTGAGCGCCACCAGACGCGCCGTCACCGCCGACACAGACCACAGGCCCCAGCAGCTGCCACAGAAGAAGTTGAAGTTGCCACTGGCGCCCAGCGTCCGCAGCCCCAAGAGCCGCAGCGGATCGACGCGCGGGGGCGAAGCAGCAGCGCAGAGGTCATGGCAGTTTCGACCACGCCTCGGCCGTGGGCCTTCAAGGACGAGAGCCTCGACAAACATCAAGCCAAGGCCCTCGCCCGCTACACGCGTCGTCTACATTCGGGCCGACCTGGCCGCATCGCGTAACGAAGTGCCGCACCGGTGACTATGAAAAAGAAAAGGCTTGACTCCCTGTAACAACACACCAATAAATTTATAAATGGAAACCAATCCCCTCGCGCCGCTGGCCCAAAAAGAGCAGCAGAGAGGCGATGACAGAGAGTGAAGAACATGGTAAGATAAGAAGTCGATCGAAAGAAGAAGAGGCAAGACGTCGTAGAGTTGGTTAGCTAACTAACGAAGAAGAAGAAGAGGAGATGGCAGCGGATGAGGATGTGCGGGTGCGACAGCTGCGCGGTCTGGGCAACCTCTACATGCTGGCGCTCTGCCCCGAGGACACGCCCTTCACCCTGCCTGAACTACAGAAGCGAAGTCAGCAGGAGGCCAACAAGCGGCAGAGTTCGCCAAGATCCTCATCACCACCAACACAGAAGCACCCCCAACAGGCTTCTACTTCTTCATCTTCCTCTTCCTCGTCCTCTTCTTCGCCACCGTCAAGCGGTGATGACGAACGAAGAAGACGGCGGCGCCTGCCATCGCTGGGACGACGCGACAAGGAGGAACGACGACAGCGACATCCGCCAGCACAAGCGACAAAGGCAGAGACGGAGAAGATGGCGAACAAGGACGCTGCGCGAGAGTCATGCGGCGCCCCTGCACTCGCCTTTCTCGAGGTGGACGTGCGCGTCAGCCAGGCCAAGGCCCTGGCACGGCTCGCCTACGACTCCAAAGCGCCCAGCTTGTCTTTCCTCGGCTGAAGCGAACGAAGCATCGGCACCATCAAACCTCTTGTAGCGTACTTGTTAATATTCGATATATATTATATTAAAAAACAATATTGCCGTACCCAAGGAATGCTGTGCCCAAGAATAGAAGCGCAAGTGCCGGCCAAACTCCCCCACCCTTTTCTTCTTCATCTTAATCTATCTCTGGTGTAGTCCTTCTCCTGGAGCGGCTTTGGGGGGGGGGCGCTACGTCCTCTTGTTTTTGGGCCAGCTATTTAAATTTGTTTTTGTTTTTACTGCGTTTTCTTTTCTTTTCATTTTTTTTTCATTTTCGCGATTTCTGGCAGGCAACGTTGTCGACCCTCAACCAGTAAACGTATCCACGTTGAGACGCAACAACCAACAAAGGCTTCAACTGGCGGGCCTTCTTGAGAGTGGGCCACAATGCAGGGTTCGCTGTACGTACTTACACTATACATGTTTTGAGGCCGTGGGAAACGCACTCGTAACAAACATCTCCCTTCTCTCCCAGAGATGGATCCACCAACTGGTTTGACGCGGTTGAGGAACAGGAGCCACCGCGAGAGGACGCAAACAAAGCGCTCGAGCGGCTACTCGCCGTACGTTCCCTACTCCGCCTTGATGCTAAGCCCCCCCCCAACACTACACTCGCCAGACTTTATATATTCCGCTCACGTTTGGCCGCACAGGAGCCCTTCGTTGGGTCAGACATCGTCAAGTATGTAGACCCTCTAGGAGGCCCTTCCTGTGGCGTGAAGATCACCTCATCTGACAAATAATCTAAATACATCACGGAATATGGGGTGGCCATTCCAATGCAGAGTGCTTCAGACCTGGAGGCGCGATGTCATGAGCACGCCACACTACCACAGCTTCCTCACGGTCATTCAAATCATGACCCACATCATCAGCTTGAAAGACGTCGGGTACCCTCGTCTCTTCCTTGTGCCACGCAGCGGGAAACATGAAATAAGACTAACTCGCTTGCTTCGTGGCCACTCCCCAGAGCCGAATCATGGAGCGGGCTTGCCACCCTCTTGAAGCAGTTCTTTGTTCTCTCCTACGTTGGAGGGGTAGAGGAGAACATGGTGCTCATGGCCAAGTCGTACGATGCCTCACCTCCAAACCGCGTGTAGCACACTCTTTTCATCTGTAAACATGTCGGCTCACGGTGGGGGACCCGCGCAACAACAGAAAAATGGACCACATCGAGCGTTTGCACGAGTCCAAGGTGAAGGGTCTCACTCGTCGATTGACGCAAGCCGAGAACGCCTACGCCGAGGTCAACAAGAAATTGAATGAGATGAGCGAGAAGGCCAGGTACAACTACTTCGAAGCTCGACTTGCAGCTTGCCAAAGAAAGCGCTGACCTCGTCGTCGTGTGTAGGAACTTGCAGACCCTCAGGGTCAAGGAGTCGCTGATGAAAGCCATGGGCGGGACAAGCCAATCGTACACACCCCCACTTGCCGTTTGGCCTGCCGGCATCAAAGAATACAGTTATCACTCCATTGCCTCTATCTATGTGCAGCATGCCAGTCACGAGGGAGTTGGCAGCCTCATCGATGGGTTTGGGTGCGTGCCACTGCTTGGCTCCTTTTGCACCAGATTCTGTTTAAGCTTACGGTTATTTCCATCTCCACCAGCCACCAGGACTCCGAGACTTGAAGACCACAACAACCTCGCCGAGGGTACGCTTTCGTGCTTGGTTGGATGCATCGCCTGTGTCGGGTGTGCTGTGTGTTAAATGTGTAAAATAGTTCCACGCGAGGAGGCATCCGCGAGCATCCCCGCACCCCCGCCTCTCAGTACCAACGCTCCTCCGCCTCCCCCACCGCCAGCAGGTACAGCTACCCAAGTCCTACCTGCCATGTTTTTTCGCAACTCACGATTCGTCTCTTCATTTATGGCCTTTTGTGTGCAGCGCCCGCTGCTCCGCCGCCTCCACCCGGCCCACCCGCGCCTGGCGCCCCGCCAGGTCCGCCGCCTCCACCCGGCCCACCAGCGCCACCTGGCGCCCCGCCCGCGCCTGGCGCGCCCCCGCCGCCCATGGGTGCGCATCCCTATCCCAGGCATAAATACCTCTTTTCGCTGCTGATGTCACCACTTTTGCAGCCCCTCGGATGCCTGGTGCTCCGCCGCATGGCCCTCCGCCACCCGGCGGCCTGTCCGCCAGCTCCGCAGGTACTGCCGGTTGACCCGATTGTTGAGGTGTTTGGACCAACACGTTACCCACACGCAACACGGTACATGACACACGCAGGCTTACAGCTGCCGCCGAAGCCGGTGGTGAAGCCCAGCACGAAGATGAAGCAGCTCAACTGGACCAAGATTCCCAACAACAAGGTGGTCTCCTCCTACTGGAAGGATGTCACCGAGGTGGGCATCGAGATCGACTCCAACGAGGTCGAGCTTCTCTTCGCCGCTCGTGAGGACAAAAAGGGTGCGCACCACTGCACACAGCACAGCACACGCACCACGCTTGACAATTTTATCTGCCTTGGCTGGCGCAGAGATCATGGGACCTGGAGATGCAGGAACAAAGAAAAAGGAAACGAATGTCACCCTGCTCGACCCCAAGCGCGCCAACAACTGCGGTACGCGCTCCGTTGCTGGCCGGGTCTGCTCTGCTTTGTTGTTCATCTTGCGGTGGTTGGCACTTCTGTTGGGCGGCACAGCTATTGCGCTGTCGAGGTTCAAGATGAGCAATGAGGACATCAAGCAGGCCATTCTCAGGCTCGACGAATCCAAGCTCAGTGCCGAAAGCGTCGAGGTACGACCGCCGCTCACACGCATTCGATATACATATATGAGCGCAGTGCGCACACACGCTCAGAAAAGTTGTTGGTCTAAGACCGCACCCCCTTTTAATGAATTCACCGGTTTGCCTGCAGACTCTCCTGAACTACATCCCCACGCCCGAGGAGATCGAACAGCTCACGGCCTACGCCGACGACAGGTCGAAGCTGGGCAAGGCGGAGCAGTACTTCTTGACCGCCAAGGTTCGCCACCTGGCCGCCTGTCGACATAGTGGTCGGTCACTGGTCTGATGTCGTCGTTGTTCGTTATGTTGACAGGACATCAAGCGACTCGAGCCCCGGCTGAAAGCGTTCCTCTTCAAGCTGAGGTTCCCCGAGATGAAGGACAGCATTCGTCCGGTACAGCACACTTTCTGAATGTGCGTGCGTGCTGTTACGAACGCCGTTCGACCCTCATCACCGTCGCATGTGAATGTGTGGCGTGCGCAGGAGATCGATGCGGTGCTGGGAGCCTGTAACGAAGTGAAGCAGTCGGCCAAGTTCAAGAAGGTGCTCGAGGTGGTGCTGGCCCTGGGCAACTACCTCAACGGCGGCTCGTTCCGCGGCTCTGCCTATGGGTTCAAGCTCGACGTACTCAACAAGCTCCGGTACGTCGTCGTTGCCGCGCACGCGCTTCGGCTGATAGTTACCGACGACTGACGCATTGCATTGTTTGTCGGACTACAGAGACACCAAGTCGGCCGACGGCGAGACCACGCTGCTGCACTACCTGGTGAAGCTGGTCAACAGCAAATATCCGGAAGCGGTCAACTGGGGCCGTGAGCTCAAGAACGTTCCCCATCGCCGCACGAAGTACCTATTGCACACTCACACGCACATCCGCACTTGCAACATCGCACACCACATCAACTGATTGTATGTTTGCAACAGTCGTTTTGTCCTCGGTGCAGTCCAACTTGGCGCAGATGAACCAGGGCTTCAAGGCCGTGGAGCGCGAGCTGCCGTTCAGCTCGGAGGACCCGAGCGACCCGTTCCTGCGCCAGATGACCGAATTCATGTTCCGCAAGGAGGACTTCGACCAGCTCCACGCCGACAGCAAGACCATGGAGGTTTTACCTTTTTCTCCTTATCAAAGTGGCTGTGTGTGGTGGCGTGTTGCATGTGCGAGTGTGGGTGTGCGGTGCGTCTGCCGCAGCGTGGCGTTGCTCAGCCTCGTTACTTGATTTCTGTGTGGTACGAAACCAACTGCGATTCGCAGGAGGACTTCAAGCAACTGGCCGACGCATTCGGCGAAAGCCCGCAATGCACACCCGACCAGCTGTTCTCCTGTATCACCGCGTTCATGGACGCCTACGAGGTTCGCAGCCCCCTCCCTCCTCTCCATCGACATCGCCCGCCACATCAGTGCGTGCTGACGCGTCCCCTTGCCAATCCGCATCTATCGCTCAACCACCAGCGCGCGGAGAAGGACATGAGAATGAAGGAGGAGAAGGCGATCAAGATGGCCGCAGCCGCAAGTACGCAAACTCTTCCCTAATTGAATTCCTCGACCGAGCTCAACTCTTCCTGACGAGGCGACTGGCACCCCATGAACTCTGATCAAATTTGTGACTGCTGTGCAGCGAGGAAGTTGTCCGGCTCCGCGCCGAGCGGCACCAGCGCCAGCAGTTCGCCTGGCCTGCCCGGACTGGCTTGTACGGCTTTTAATCGAGCCTGTCGTGTGTGTGCGTGTGGCGGTGCTGCGCGCGTACTTTGACCTCATACACTTTTTTGGGGACCACCAGACGGGGTGAAGCGATCGCTCCAGGCATGGGACTCCCCACGTCACCAGCCGGTTCGCCATCTTCTCGAGTTCCCGCCACGCTGCCGCCTTTTTTTTCTTTTTCTTTCCTTTTCTTTAACTGGCTTCGCCCTCCCCTGTAGAGTTTGGCAAGCTGCGAACGTCGATCTCGCGCCCCGTGATCGATCCCCTCGCCGCCCGGCCTCAGGAGCCGGCCGTCGTTCCTGGTACGTACCATGACCACCATCCCTAGAGAGAAACGGCCGCGACTCATCATTGTGGAATGTGCGCAGAATTCCTGAGCAAGTTGCGCAAGGCGCCCGGGTCGTCGGTGGCCCCGGCGGCCGAATCAGCGGCAGCGGCGGGGGTAGAGCCGTCGCCGTCCGATGGCCCGGCCGTTTCCCTATTGAAGAGGTCGCTCTCGCTGGCGTCGTTCCCCGAGGTGGGCTCAACTGCGACTGCGCTGGCCGAGGACTCGGCCAAGGTAGTCACGCCGGGCACCGTCAGAACGCGCATCGGGTCGTTTGGCGGAGGCTCGGGCATATTGGTCGCCACCCCCGAAGTGACCGACGTCGACTCTGGTACGCTGTCCTACCTGCCCATCGTCGGCCTACCACCTGCTCATCGCTGTGTCCGTACGTGGGTGGGCGACCGCACACGCACGACCGCACACGCAACACGCAGGGCGCACGGATGAGGCGGGCAACGTTGGTGGCCTGCGCGAATCTGGCAACTCTTCAGAGCCCAGTTTCCCAGCACCTGGTACGGTCACCGCCCGAATGCAAGCCAAGTCTTACCTAAACTTACGCTGCACACACCAGGGGCCAACTTCCAAGACGAGTAGGGAGCCGCCCTGAAGTACATCCACCGCCAAATCAGCAAACTGCAACCAACTACGCCACAGGGCCACCCTCACAACCAGTCTCTCGTCTTACGCCTGAGTTCGGTGAGAGCACCGCAGAAGGAACACAAACTATGTGAAGAATTTAAAAAATGCACACATTCCACAGGCATTCTTGGGATCTCGTTAGCCTTCGGCACCAAAGTGGGGCAACCACCAGCACGAGGAGCCCCACCACTCCTTCCTGAGTACCCTTCCACTAACGAGTGCGGAGCTGTTGTTTCATCCTCTTGCAACCATCCGCACAGAGTCACACAACACACCCTGTACCGCGCCTTGAGGAAGCGAACAAGCGCAGCAACCCGTAGAACACTTGATCCGCCTTCGCCACAAGCCAGCAAAGATGGCTTCCGGTACGCTCTCTCGTTCTTTTGATTGGCAAAGAACGAAAGCGAAAGAGGGCGACAAAACTAATAGAGAGTGTAAATACAAATAATAAATAAAAAAATATAATTTCGTCAGGGGTAACTAAGTATTTTTGTTGTGTGCGGTATTTTCTCATTATTGTCTTTTGGCTTGGTGGGCAGTGATGGACAAGAAGGCGAGCAAGAAGGAGAGCAAAAAGGAGAAGAAGAGCAGCGGCAAGCGAAAGGAAAAGAAGGAGAAGAAGTCGAGCAAGAAGTCGAGCGACAGCGCCGTGCCGCCTGTCAAGCCGACCACCGGCGGCACCTCCACTTCCCTCTCCCCACGCACCACCACGTCCCCGCGCCTCTCGCTCTCACCCTACCAGTCCGATGGCCGCCTTGCACGCAAGAGTGCGTTCTCTACTGTCGTGTCGCGTGTCGTGTCGTGTCGTGTCGTTGCTTCTGATAACACGCAACACGCAACACGCGCCATGACACACAGGCAAACTGTTCGACAATGTGGAGGAGAGCGGAGAGGAGCTGGACGAGGGAGATCCGCCCACGTACTACACCCACGGCCTTCGTGGCGAGGACAGCCAGGAGTTCCTCGACAAGCTCACCGAGCGTATCCCCGGTATGTTATTCACTCCGCACTGTGCGTCGCACGTGTCATGCTCGCGTGTGTGTCGTGTCGTGTCGTGTGTCGCTGCTCACTTTTTCCCGCGTGTGTCGTGTCGTGCGCGTGTGGTTTGCAGAGGTCAGCAACAGCTGGATCTCCAAGTTTGTGAATCCGCCCGCATTCGGAGTTGAAGTCCTGCTCGACATTCTCAACGACAAACAACAGAAGGAGAGGTACAAACCTTCCACCGCTGGCGCAGAGCTCTCGCACGTGTGTGTCGTGTGTGTGTGTCGTGTGTGTGTGTGTCGTGTGTGTCGTGTGTCGCACACGGCTGACTCGGAGCCACTTCTTTTCTTCTTCGCGACCAAAGGAAAACGGGTAACGACTTCGCGGTGATGGTGGGATGTCTGAAGATCATCGAGATGCTTCTGGACACCAGCGCGGGCATCAACGCCATCATGACCGTGGGCAACATCAAGCAGATCGCCTTCCTCATCGAGACCGAAGATCAAGGCGTGCAGACCGAAGTCTTGCGCCTGCTCGCCGCGGTGTGCCTGCTGCCGCCCAAGGGCCACGATCTCGTGGAGGGTACGTCAGACTCGTACACTGTCGCTTTCATTCTTTTTATATTTATTTTACATTTATTTCTTTATATATTTAGTATATCTCTCTATATGGATATGTGGATATAATCTGATGAATGTCAACAATGCAGCCGCCCTCATTGAGTTTGGTGAGAAGAGCAAGGCCAAGTCGCAGTACACCTACCTGGTGCGCCCTCCCCTGCTGTGCGATTGATCGAAAAGAGTTGATTGGCTGACAACCACCTCCCTGTCGGGAAATCACAGGTCAACCTGCTCGACAAGAAGGACGCCGACGCCGACTTCATCACGCAGACGCTCTCGCTCATCAACTCGCTCATCAGTTCGCCCGGTACGCCAGGACATTGCACTCCGACAGACATCGAAATTTCATTGCACTCATTCGCGTGTGTGAGGGCGTCTCAGATGATGTGGAGGATCGAGCCAAGGCACGCAAGCTGTTCGTCAAGCTCAAGTTCGAGAAGAAGCTCGACAGCCTCAGGTAAACCTACACGCGCACGCACCACCGCACGCGCAATCGCACACGCACACGCACACTACCGATGACGCGCAAGTCACTGAATGATTGTATGCCACACCCAGAAACGCGTGGGAGACTTCGGAGAGCGTGATCGTGCAGCTCAACGTGTACAAGGAGGAGAAGGAGGAAGACAAGAAGCAGCTCAAGATCTGGAGTGTGCGTAGCCGCGCTCGCCCTTCTCTCTTTCTCTCTCTCTCTCTCGATCGCGACACGTCGTGGCTTACAAGTAACTCACACAGGGATCGCGTATCGGCGGTGTCCCTAAGAACGAGCCCCCGCAGTACGTCGCGCTGGCGGCGGTGAGGCCGTTGCGTGCAATTCAACAACTGCTAACCGCACGACACTCGCCGCATCGCACGCACACGCACACGCACACGCACACGCACACGCACACACGATAGGATGTTCCAATATTGGATGCGAAGTGTGGTGGAGACGGAGTACTACTCGTCCTTCCTCACCGTCTTCCAGACCATCACCCAACTCACCGCCAACACCGAGGCCGGGTACGTGGTCCCTTATCTTCGACCGACCCTGCGCATTACCGCCCAACGTTCCTGCTGCTCACACGCACCACCGCACACGCACACACGGCACCGCACACACCGCACACACGACACCACACCACACCACAGAGTGACGTCATGGAAGGGTCTGGAGACGCTGCTCAAGCAGTACTACCTCCTCGTCAACGCCGGTGGCCTGGTCGACGAACAGCTCGAGCTCATGCCCAAAACGTAACCCCCCCGCCCCTTCACTCTCTTTCACTCTGAAGCGCATTGAGACGCGCATCTGACATAACGCACCACGGCGCGCAGTCAATTGGACAATTTGGTTCGGTTGCACGAGACGAAGGTGAAGGGCCTGAGCCGTCGGTTGACCAAGGCCGAGACGAGCGTGGCCGAGCTGACCAAGGAGGTCCAGGAGCTCACCGAGAGGAACCGCGCGCTCAACACCATGCGCGTCAAGGACGCCCTCATGCGCGCCATGACCGGCGGTTCCGCCAGGTTCGTGCCACCGCACACACGACCCGACACACGACACACGACACGCACTCACATCGGTTGCTCGTGATTAGCATCAAGGAGGTCCCC